CAACAAACGTAACAGTAGTTTTAAATATTACGTACTGATTGCAACTGAAAGAAAAATGATTTGTAAAAAGGCATTCTTATCTGTTCACTCCATCAGTAATAAAAGATTACAACGTATTCAGCAGTTGTTACAAGCCTACAGATAAAAGAGGAAAACAAGTCAGTGCTAATGTTATCCCCGCCGAAGAGAATATTCGTATTCATGGGCACATAAATTCATTTCCTGTAAAACCGTCCCATTATTCTTCAAGAGAATATCATTATCTTAGCTCAGAATTGACAGTAAGGACCATGTATTCGATGTTCAAAGAAAAATATCCAGACTCAAAGATTAAGTACGAATACTACAACATAATTTTTAAGGAAAATTTTGATCTGAAGTTTGGTAGGCAGCAGGTCGACACATGCTGCACTTGTGAGAATATTTCAATCAGAATTAAGAGTAAGGATCTAAATGAGAATGCTAAAAGAGTTGCTATTGCTAAAATGCTCGTGCATAAAAAACGAAGTAAAAAGTTTTACACGGCACTGCAGGAGTCAACAAAGAAAAGCAGAGTCTAATAATGTAGTTGCCCTTGCATTTGACTATATGCAAAACTTACAGCTTCTAAAAATACCAGTACAGGATTTATTCTATTTAAAACATTTAACAATAAGCGTTTTTTGCATCCACAACATGAAGACTGACCAAGTTGTTTACTTCATTTATCATGAAGGTTGTGGCAAGAAAGGCCCTAAAGAAGTATGTTCCTTCCTTTACCAGCATATAAAGGAATATATACCTGATAGTGTGAGGGAACTGCATCTCTTTAGCGACAATTATCCTGGTCAAAACAAAAATAACACCCTGATTTGAATGTGCCTGTTCCTGAAAGATTCCGGCAGATTTGATGATATTCAGCAATACTTTCCCATTCGAGGATACTCGTTTCTGCCTTGCGATAGAGACTTTGGTAACATTAAAAGAAAGTTAAAAAAATTCGATCGTGTTTATACCATACGTCAGTATATAGAAATTATAGCATCTTCCAGCAACAAACATAAATTTCTAATCCATCTTGTGGATGGAAAGGATATAGTGAATTTTAAAGACTGGTGGCCTGAACTTTATAAAAAAAACAGCTATTTCTATTGAAACTTCTCAAAGAGGTACGCCAAGAGATAGAAAAGTTGCGTTTAACATCAGCAACTTTCATCAGTTTTCCTTCTGCAAGAATGATGGGAAAGGTGTAGTACTTGCCAAAGACTACATTAATGGATTCGAGAAACATACATTTTGTCTAGGACTTTCCAATATTGTAGTTAGACCTAAAGTATTCTGTTACCTAACAGGAAAACTTCCCATAAAATCAGTTAAAATAAATCACATAAAGAAATCGGCTAAATATGTGAACGAAGTTGAAGGAACGAAAGAATTTTGGGATAATATTTTTAGTTGGCCTATTATAAATTAAAAATCTGTTTTGTTATCCAATTTTTTCTTACAGTCTGTCTTAATAAAGTGTTTTTCGTCAATTACTCCCTCTTTCTTTTTGACTCTTCCAATTGATAACAGAAAGGGTATATGTTAGTCAACTTAAAAGGTCTATAACTCTTTACTGCTTAAAGCAAATATTTTCAATTACCCCTAAAAGGGATAGTGTTTTGATATAGTTTTTGCATGCACATTCAGTTTTTTTTTTAAATTATGATCCAGTTCGAAAAACAGTTATTTGCATTTATCTCAGAAGTTAAGTTCAGTGACATATATCCTTTCTGCAATCAGCAATTCAATTGATTATTAAGGTCAAAATTATGTAGAATCAAATTGTAAAATTTAGCAACAACAAAAATAATAGAATATTAATCAAGGTCGTGTTATATTTGGGACGACTATTTCACTAGACCAAATATTGACTATTTCTGTAGGGAGACAGTCTAGGTCTAGGGAGATAGTCTTTGAAAATATTTTATATTTAAGTTATCTATATCACATCGCAGTGTTGTATTAGAATATTAATGTATAATATTCTGTAATAATAATAACCATAAAAAATGTGTTCTAAATATATGTTAGTAATAATTTCAGGCTATAGGAACTATGATTGATCTTTTTCATGTTTTCCCGATATTAAATTCAGAACGGAACCCATTTATTGTAATGAATAGCCATAATTTTATACAAATCACAAACCCTATTATCTGATAAATTCCATAAATTATAATTTTCTATGAAAGTTCTGTGTTTCTGGGCCAAATTCTAAAAAGCATACACAAATTGATCAATATTGACACACGAACCAGCCATTTGTTTTATTACTATTAGAGCATTTATTTTAAAATAAATTACCTTTGTGAATTTATAAAATTACTGGGTCAAGTTTGTAATTTACGTGCCATGCTGATCAATCTTTTACCTTACCAATTTTCATGATATCTTTCAGTCTGAATACACAGGGTGGCCCATTAGTGCGACTAAGTCAAATATTTTTCTAATCTCTATTATTTTTAGTTATCAAAATAAAAATTTGTCACAAACTATCACTTTTATCGTCTACATTATAATAACAAATAGTGAAATATTAAACTGGGTGTTCAATTAAAAAAAAAGTGGAGTTTTATGTATTTAATTAAGAGCAAGTTGATGCCCCTCTCAGGAGTTTTAGGTAACCCTTGTCTAAATATTTTAACTCAATTGTCGATAACAAAGTTTTTTTAATAACATTTATCATACACTTTTTTTCAGTAATTGTTCAGTAATTTTTCAGTAATTTTTCAGTAATTGTTTAGAAAATTTTCAGTAATTTTTCAGTCATTTTTCAGCAATATTTCAGACTTTTTGGCATAGGCAAATTAACCAAATCGCAAGATGCAATCAAAGATGAAATATATACAGGGAGAAGTAATTTAATTACTTTGCCATTTAAGCTATCCCTATAGAAATATGCAAAAAAAGTAGGACCTGCAACTTTTACTCTGAACGTTTTCTCATACTAGATGACAAATATTAGACTTACACTAATTGGTATACAGGATGTTTTAAAACTCACTTAAAATCGATTTCTACCAAACAGTAGCTGTTATCTTTAAAACCTTTCTGATATTCAAAAAGGAAAAACTTGTATTTCGTGCAAAACTTTTTTATTAATCAATGCAAAGCGCTTTCGGCTTATTTGCCATCATCAGTGCTCATTGTCCACAACGTATCCAACAAGTTCCTGGTCATCCTCACTCCCAAAATTATATATTTCGGGATGTTTACAACTTTCTGATATTTTTCTAAATTTCCTCTGACAATTTTCGACAATTTTGACAAATTTTAATATTTTTTTTATGGCGTCAATTTTCCATATCAATATGTATTATTATGTATATACATTCTTTATTACCGGATCAATAATAGTTGACATTATTAATTATTAAATAGCTTTTGTTTTTTAATCTAGGTCATACTTTGTAGGTGGTGATTATTTTGTACGTATACGTATGTGAAACGTGACCCAACAGTTACGTTAATGAGGTCAAAATTTGTAAGTCATAAATAATAAAATGCAGAATTTAAAATCAAAACAATTTCTGGTATTTCAATTATTAATGGAATAAATAATTCAGAACGTGTAAGTATAGTCTTGAGAGAACTACACTGAAACATTTTTAATAATATAATATCATAAATCCAAAATTTGAGAGACGCTAAATTGGTGGTTTCCGCCTTATCGAAACGATATGATTTTGAAGGAAAAAACGAAAGACGATGAGAAGTATCGAGATGTTGAATTTCGTTAATTATACTAAACCACAAGATGGTCTGCACGTTGCTAGCCTTGGTTATTGAAAACCAGGGTTTGCAAATTGTTTAAACCGCAAACAATTTATGTAAAAATATTTGGTCCTATTACTGCTTAAATCTGTTTATGTCAAAATATTTGGTCCCTTTGTCACTTAAGGCTGCCCATGTAAAAATAGATGTGCCTTTGTCCTTTTCTTTACCCCTGTAGTAATATTTGGCCCATTTTTATCACTATCTATTTAAAAACATTTTGCCCCTTTATCTCTTAAGCCTGCCCATATCAAAATATGTGTCCCTTTACCATTAACCTACGACTGTCCATGTAAAAATATTTGGTCTATTTACACCTTTAGCCTATGTAAAAATAGTTGAAGCATTTACCCCTTAAGTCTGTTCAAGAAAACATATTTGGCCCCTTTACCCATACGTCTACCCAAGTAAAAATACGTCTTACGTCTTAAAAAATATTTTAGCCCTTTACCTTTTTGATCCAAAGATCAAATTCTGATACAAGTTCCCTTCTGGAGTTCGTTAATACTCGTGCAAAAAGCATCGTACCACTACCATGCTAAGTCGCTCGCGTAAGATTTATATTTATTTCAACTTAAAACAATAATTATGTTCAATTGTGACGTTCACTTCCAATTAACAAATAATAAAATAAAATCCTTTAAAAAACACTTAAAACGCTTTAAATAACTTATTTAACGCATAAAAATGACAGCAATAAACAAAAAAGTAATTGGTTTCAAACTTGACAGGCATATGGCTATCTAGTACTCGTACGGCAGTGTATAAAATTAATCCCATTATAAATGCATTGCATTTTGAAAACTGATAATTAAAGCTATAAAGTTAAATCAAAAATTTTGACAATCAATAAATGAAGTCAAAAGCCCAAGCCGATCGGAGCTGTCGTCCTAGGGTTATCGTATCGGCTTACATACAGTCGATATTTTTTAGTGTTTACGGCGTGTTAAGAAACATGGAGTAGTGTTCAAAAATAGGGGCTCAGAAAAATTTGTGCTCGTACGAATTCAAAATAGTCTCTGTAGATAGGGGCCTCGGAAATTCTACATTCCAAAGCTCTAATAAGGACTCATCAAAAAGTATCCTTTACAAATAACTCCTAACAAATAACAATTTTGGGTATTTATAATTTTCATTACCATTTCTGTATTACTCAAAACATGCTGTATACAAATGTTAATAAAACCAAAGGCTATTCTTACCTGAAAATAGACTTGCTTGTGATCGACCCATCCGATCACCATATCAGATCCAGCCATCCGCCCATCCTTAGAAAACCCAAAACCGACGTACCCCAGCGTCCTCACTTGCAACTCGAAAGTGATATCCTGCGGGCCCGGTCCCAGGACCCACAACAACCGATAATCGGGACTCAGATAGACGGAATGGGCCCATCTGGCGCACCTGGAGACGTTCACTAAGCACAACACTAATAATAACACTGAAATTAATTTTCCGAATGGATCCATAGCTGCTGATGGGAGACTTTTAAGCAGACGAAAGCATTATCTGAAACAAAAAAAAAAACATTATTCAGCAAATATAACTCCAATATAATCAAGAGTACCTACAACTACTTTCTTACATTTCATTTACAAAATGAGTACATTTGTAATATTGCATTTATTTAAATTTTTGTACTAGGACTATTTGTGTCCCTCAAGGGTACATCATAGGGCTATTATTATATTTAATGCTATTAATGATTTATGTGATCATAAGATTTATGTTAGTTTTTTATTAATAATGCAGAAATTAGTTACAGTTACAAAACACACAATAAATAATTATAAAAGTGTAGTGCATTTAATGATGCAGATATTTTTGGTTGAATTTCAAACTTATTTTTAACAAACATAATTTTAAAGCAAAATAATTTACTTTTATTATTAATCCTAATAACTGGATTTGACTAATAGGACCTCAGGATTGGTTGGCCAATGTCCTAATTGAATTCTAATTATTGGTGAAAATAACCTAAAAGATAATGATGTAAAATATCTAAATACATCTGTATCTGTAGCGTATGGAGCGTAGGTTTCCCCACAACACTTAGGCCTTACTACGCCCATTGTGCATTCTTTTAACGTCTTCGAGAGGTATTTCTCTTGTATGGGCCGGTATTAACCAATACTCACCGAACAAACATCTAAGAAATGAAAGTGTCGACAATACACGATGGTTGCATCTATTTATTCGCATCCTCTGCAGAGTGCAGATTCTATGGAGTAGCTTTCGTATTTTTCAATGACCAATCAGAATGCCTGGGTTTCGCAAATTCTAGTCATGGTTCAAGTATGTTTGAGGTGGTGTTGTCGGGATAACTTAAAAGCTCCATGACAATTCTACAGCTCTTTGTATCATCCCATCTTTCCTTGAATTTCACAAGTGAATATTCCAATTAGGTTTGGAAGGGCGAGGTCTAAAAATTATTTAATTGACTCCATGCTTGACTAGTGAATCAGAAAGGTGGTTACCTTTCGATGTGACGTGACATTTGATTCATCTTATGGCTACCACATTGATGATGAATAATTCAGCAAGAGCTTTGTGGCATACTAATAATATCCCTGAGTAAATTACTGGTCTGTCCAGGTTGAGTAGAGCTTTTCTGTTATCTGTATAGATGAGCATGTAACTTCCATTGATATTGTTTCTGGTAAATTCATTTGCTATTATGAGAATCCCAGAAAGCTAGGTTTGAACTACACTGACACTACTGCTCACATCCCATTTTATGTCTAGGTTTAAGAATCTGGAGTATATTCTATATCCCGAGCCTTGTTTTGTTTTAGAACCATCGGCCACTTCCTGCTTTTCTATTTGTTCCAGTATAACTGTTAATAGCTTATAAAAGATATAACTCTGTGAGAAGTGAAACGAAGATATATTTAGCATATTTAGTGTTATGTCATCAGCAAAATCAGTGATAGTTTGCTGATTCAGGTATTAGAAAGATCAGGATCAAATGGCTGGTGGTATAGCCACAGACATATTACATTTGCCTTCACGCTGTCTAAAGAAATTAATCATTTGTTCGGTTCTTAAACCAAACTCGGAAAGGGAAGGGTACAACACACAATGGCGTACTGTTTCGGAAGGGTGTATTCTTATTTTTTAAAAACTATTTCATGGTTATACCTTAAGTGACTGTTCTTACATTCAATAAGTCTTCAGAATGGAAATTAAATTTAAAGAAACATTTTCCAATATATACAGGATATTCAAAAAGGGGTTCCATATATTTTTGTATATTAAAATAGTAGTTATGATTTATGATTATTAATGCAAGAACAAATAAATCTGTAAATTCTTGTAATGTATAAAAATCCCATATTGTCGTTCTTTGATTCTTTTTTTAATGAGGAATATTATTAAAAGTTTCGAACAAAATTTAATAGAATATTTTTGGAAGTCTGACTACAAGTGAGGCTCGTCACGGACAAATTTAATGTATCTATTCTATACGATATCTTAAGATATAGCTTATATTGGGAGAAACAGAGGATTTTGTCAATATTTTTGTTATAATAAACAAACTGGTGCAAAATTATATATAATTATAGCAAAAATGTAAGAAAGGTACGTGTGAAAAACGATACGTTTTGGTCTGTCAGTTTTATAAATTTGTAAATAGGCTTACAAGAAATTACACGTATAATATTCGAGGTATCTTTTTTCACTACAGAATTAAGAATCCTTACAATTTGCAGTTAAATTCCCCGTAGTCTCGCTTCCGTGTAATTGGATTTGCAGAAACCATCTTGTAAGCATTTCTCGAGTAAAGCTTGTAGTTTCTAACAATATTAGTATCTACTGTTACGGAAGTCGCAATAAAATTCTGTGATTTACTTTTTCATTGGAACTTTCAAACGATGCCGGTCGGAATTGGTTTGTGGAAACCTTAAAAATGCGACGACGAACGCCGAATCGGTTTATTTTTGTTAACGATCGCAAATGCAATTTTTGAATATGTTTGGAAAGCTACCATTTTTTTTACGATTACATTGTAAATAATTCAATTTAGTGGCTTCATTGTATTTCGAATTTATACCGCCCTGTCAACATACCATTCGATTTGAAATATGCCTTATTAACACATACATAAGACTTTCCTACTGAATCGTTTAGGTCACAATGTGCTTCAGATTGTGTCAATATTGATATGAAATAGTAGTTTGTGCATCAAGATTAGATATAAACAATCCACTCGAGTTGTACTGTATATTTTTTCTACGACCCACTTACTAAAATCTACAAATATTAAAAATTATTTTAGGTTATGAAGATAAAATAATTAATTTAAAAATAATTTATGAATTTTACTAATTTATAAAATAAAATAAACAAGAAAGAAAAAAAGAAAAAAAATTAATTTAATTTTTCTCCATCTAAGATTTGAACTCGAGCCGAAGGCAAGAACCCTGATCACAGGACCATCTACGCGTTTATTTTGTTTGCTTTAATACTCGTAATTAAATTGACTTCATATAGTTTAATTTAAATTAACAAATTATTTATAATTATAGACGAAATAAAAATATAAATTCTATTATTTATCGATTCTAAACAATAATAACTCGTTTTAATGAATGTTTAATCTCAATAACTAAAAAATATGTTGACAATTTGTTTGACATGTGGGTGTAGAAATAGTATATTACATTACGAGTGTGGAAAGTGACATTTTTCACACGAGTGGGAAATATTGTCGCACGAGGCGTAAGCCGAGTGCGACTATCACACGAGTGTGGAAAATCACTTTTCACACAAGTGATGTACAATATTTTTCCTACGACCACAAAATAATTTCATTAAAAAATGTAAAACCAGATTATTATAATAATTAAAATGTATTTAAAAAAATAATCAACAATAATCGTATTTATTAAATTTTCATAATTTCTAAACAAATAAAAAAAAAAAATAAAAAAAAAATCTGGCACAGCCAGGATTCGATCGCGGTCGTTGGACGGTCTCAAATTGCAAAGTTGATGCTCTAACCAACTGAGCTAACAGGCCTTACGGTAATTGATTGATCTAATCGCTTATGTGTTTAACCAGAATAAAAAGCAAATATATCTTAGTTATTTTAAAATTATTTTAAAAATAATTGTTAAAGATAAATATCTAGGATCTAATTTACAATAATTTAACAATCATATCGATTTTAGTATTAATATGGACATTACATAGATCAAAATAGAAATTATGTGTTTGACATTTTCTGACAGCTACTGCGGAAAGTAGCATATTCTCACTTGGGTGGAAAGTAAATTCTTATTCATACGCGTGTGATATAGGGCACTTTCCATAGGTCTATATAGTGTGATATGTGTCACTTTCCTAAGTGGTCGTAGGAAAAATATATATTATGTGTAACGGTTTTATTTTGCTATATTATAAAAATATGACTGATGATATTTTGTAAGTCTTATATAACTTAAATAATTGTAAAAATCAAATACAGAACCTTGCAGATTTGCAAAACTGTGTGCATTGAGTCATTTTATCTAAAAGGAGTTCTGTTATTATACCAGAAGGGTTATGTTTATTTTGTATCCTCTTCTTTACTAATATTCCAACCATGTTTTAATTACCCTGTCACAATTCTTCATTTCTGGTAAAAAAGTTGGTAGATACTGGTCACTTTTAGAAAACACCAAAAATCTGCTTACCAGTACCTACAATATTATAAAAACTTATAATCACTAGATTTTGGTAAAAAATTTTGATAGAGAAAAGACTGATCCTCTTAACTTTGGATATGTTGATGTAAATGGTCTCATTGTCGAATTTTTATTGCATAGATTCTTCGCTGGACGTGAATCCAGTGGGAATTTATTATTTGTAATGACTGGGTTCTAATAAATTAATAATTATCTGTGGGACAACTGTAATAAATAAATAATACACAATGAAAAAAAGTCTGTTTTATGCTTAAACAAGGCCAGTACAGGTGGCTAACCACCAAATAAGTTTAGACTATAAAGGGTAGAGATTTTCTCAGTCCAGTGTATTAAACATCTATGATCTAAGTTCCTTAGAATTATTTTAGAATAAGAAGAATTACTGGTTATGTCAAATTATAAAATTAAAACTGTGATTTTTTTAGTAGAATTAAAAATGTTGATATTATTTGTTTACATCACATCCTAAGTCATAAGCAGAAGGACTCAACCAAATTAGTACATGAAATAAAATTAATTTATTTGTGATGTCCAGTTAACTGTTCGAAAAAATTCGTCGTGGTTGTAAGAATAAGAAATCTTGAATATGACACTACCGAAAAATATAACCTATCACCTCTTCGTTTAACCTTAATACCTTAATAAGCAAGATATACACTATTCGATAATAAAGGGAGGCTGCAAGCTTGCACAGCGATCCTTTCTACCGGATTATTGATGCTGAAAAGCCATTTCAGTGAGTAATGATCTGTTATTACCGTAAATAGTTGCGTTTGTGA